TAACTGGGTTCAACAACAGCTACATGTACCAACAGAAGCCAATCTCTCTCTCTCCATCCTTTTGCTCTGTGTTCTTGAGCGTTGGCTCCATTATCAGGTAAGCTTCCCCCTGGTAGTGACAGAATGGTTGCCAGCAGCTCCCTAATCATAGGCTGTTCTCTTCAGAAACCATAGCAGAATAGAAATTCTCTTCCTTCACAGTTGAAAGTCTCAGAGCTGAGGCTCACAGGACCATCCAGGTCATATGTCCATGTTTTGTGCCTAACATTGTGGCTGAGAGAGATGGAATACTCTGACACAGGCCAGGGCTGTGTCCCTATCCCTGAACCAACACATCATCCAGGGGAGTCTGATGTCCCCATTATCCAGGTCTAGGTCGCATGTCTCCCTTGAAGTCAGGAGTGGAATTAGCCCACTTGACCACATGAGCTGACAGAAGGAAGGTGTCTCATCAAAAAGAGGGAGGACTGGATTTGGGTAAGCAAATCTACAGATGCCCGCAATATCAGTGTTGAAAGTATTATCAGGGATCATACAGGAGATCATACAGGAGAGGACCAACCTCCTCAACTCACAGATGGGGAAACTGAGGGGCAGAGATGCTGTCCCTAGCTAGGTACCCTGAACCCACTAGCAGAGGTTTTTGGCCCTTGTCCTGCCAAAGACCTCATACAAATCCACCCCATCTCCTAAGCTGGTTATCAGGCAAGTCAGCGGCAATGAAAAACATTTTCTATTGCTTTGTTTTCTACCAAAACTCTTGCAGGTACATGCTCTAGGTAGCTTAGCCAAAAGCTACCATGTTTGCCCAGGCTGTGTCTGGACAGGGGCATTTGCTCTGGAATAAAATATCCATATGATCTCTTCGGCATACCTCAAGTGACTGTGGAGTCTTTCTGAGGAACTTACTGGTCAAAACCGTAAGGGATGTGTAAGAAAAGGGTATGTGATGATGAGATTATTAAAAGCGCCTCAGTTTGTTCATAGATTTCTTTTTTGTTCTTTCCATAAGAGCCCCTACAATAACTCTGTGCTAGACTGCTGAGATACAACAGAAGTAAAACAGTCTTCTCTGACAGTGTAGGAAGACAGATATAAAGAACATTACAGAACCATGCTTTGGTTTGCAGGCAATAGAAATAGTAACAGGAAATAGATGCTGCACTCAAAAGGAGTAATTGAAGAGAATTTAATGAAGAGGCTGTTTATGAAAGAGAGGGTAGTGTTAAAGGAACCAGGAGGAGATGGTGAAGGAACAGTAGGAAGTTGCCACCACTGCTGAGCAGTTAGGTGACACAGCAAGCACTGGAGCTATCACTGAGGGCAGCCAAACAGGTGCTGCAGGCTTAGATAAAGGCAGGCAGGTACTGCCCCACAAGGAAGAAACAAGTGGAATGTATATCTCAGTCTCTCCTTCCTCAAATTCTCTAGTCTCTTAATGGTACCTTCAATTGGCCAAACCCAACCAGAAGCCCAAATCAAGAGAGCCCTTTGATGCAGCCCAGAGGTCAAACATTAGGACACAGAGGTGGGTAGAAAACAGAAGTTATGGGAGGCCAGACAGAAGATGGCCTGCAGAGTTAGGAAGAGTGCACAACCCAGACTAGGGGTGGACAGAGAGGGTAAGTCTCCCACTATGACTGGCTACATGGAGGCATGGTTTGCTAGGAAGAAGGACGACAGTATACAAAGGCACAGGCATATGAGAGGCATGCTGTTTCAGAGAGTGACAAGAAACCTGGTGCGGCTATAATCAGGGAACAGAGAAAGGAGTGGTCAGAGATGAGATCAGAGGCTTGTTAGGTTAAATTTGCTATTCATCAAAAGAGAGAGAGTAGTTTTAGAAACTGTATTATCACCATTTGGGTTTGGATAATTCTTTGTTGTGGGGGGCTGATTGTGCATTTTGGGATGTTTAGCATCCACTGTTTCTACCCACCAATATCAATAGCATTCCCCTTCCCCCAACTCATGATATAATAAAGAATATCTCCACTCAGTGCTAGATGTGCCCTGAGTGGGTGAAGAGCAAAACCATCCCAGTGGAGAACCATGACTTGGGAGAATATGGGTTTGGTTCTGGGCATATTGAGTTTGAGGTGCCTGTGAAACATTCAAAGGGAAATGTCAGATAAGCACTTGGGCTTATGAATTTGGAGCCAAAAACAGTGATCTGGGCTGGTGACTCAGATTTAGGAATTAGGAGCACAAACTGACTGACCTGTATAACATGATGGTCTGAAATCCAAGCACTATACATTTATCACACTGTAACTTTTCACTCCACTTGTCAGTGAAATGTTCTTTCATTTCTTGTTGACTTTTATGTTAGAGAAAAAAATGAGGTGGGTAGAGGGTTAGACAGCATTGGATTGACCTATTATAAGTATCTAGTTTAAGGGATGGAGGTCTGAGTTCAGTGAATATTAAACTCATCCTGGTTTATAATCCTCTAGTTTTTGTCTCTAGACGAGGCTTTTAATTTTTTTACTATTTTATTTTATTGTATTGTATTATTTTATTTTACTTTTAGGAAAGCAAGGCAAATGTTTTTATTTAGAGATAAAGCAAGAGGACAGAGCTCCTGGCTCATGATGCCAGGAGGGGACAAGAGAGTCCTTAGACAAGGCTTTTATATTGCTCTAGTTTCTCTTCCTAAGCTTCTCTTGTGTAGTTTGAAAGATCTAGAATTCTTAGAATATTTATAACCCTTTCTAACATGGTATAAGCCTTTATAAAACATAATGCTGCCAGATGGGGAGGTTATACCCTCAACAATAAGTTGGGAGAACGCTCACTTATTCTGTAAATAAATCATAAGAAGCCAAGAGCCCATAAGAAGAGCGTAAAGGTACCCAGTAAGAAAGAACCTCAACAACAAACATCTCCCAAAAAGAGGCTGGAGTTGCATGTTCAGGCTCATTTCTCCAACCTGACTCTCTCCAGCTCTATTTTAGTTTGGGCAGAAATGGATCAAGAGTTCTTTGTGCAAAGAGAAGGTTTTTGCCTTTCAAAGTTACTTCTTTGAATGCCACATTACCCACCCCACCCTCAGATGCCATGTGAAGTGCTTGAGTTGGTGAAATTCCTAGGAGTTAACAGAGTAATCTGGATCCTGCCTCCAAACCAGGTATCATATCTAGATATGCAGCAGTATATATATGATTATATATGCATGACTATATATATATATATATATATATACTGGCACTTGGAGGAAGGGATGTATCAGTGAATGCACAGGGAACACTTGAGGAGTTTAAGTTGTAGTAAAGCCGAACCTGGCTTCTCAGACAGGGAAGTGGGCATAGGAGAGTTCCCAGTAGTCGGAGCCCTTTGATTCACCTCCTTGGCTCCCTGACACCTGAGACCCAAGGTAATTCTGACTGTTTCATCCATACACTTTAAGTCAGTCTTTGTGATAATCGCAGAGACAGTATTTACCCTTCAAATGGAACAATAGCAGACATTCCAGGAAGGACAGATGAGCCTGTGGCGCATACAAGCTGGATTATCTTAATAAAAATAAAAAGCAGCTGTTGGAAAAAAATATAACTTCTGACAACCATTCTAGTCTCACAGGGGTTTACACTGTTCATTGTGATGATATAAAGGGATTGTTCACTCTCTTCTTTTCAGTCCAGCTATTTGATGGAATTTTTGTGGGAGGTTTTTATAATCCACATGTCCTTCAAATCCATATCCATTTATCTCATCACAGAGTTGACGTAAAAGCCAAGGGGATGGTCAAGGTAAGAGCTTCCAGTTCTCTGGGCAAACATATAACTTTTTCTTTCCATACTTTTTGAGCCAGCTGCTAACATCCCCTTAGGGCAGCATGGAAAATTCCAATTAGAAATGACCAACTCCCAGGGAGCACTTAGAATTAAATCCTATTATGCAGAATTCTGGTAACATCTCCACTGGCCTGCCTTTTCTTATTCTCCTGGAGAGCACCTTTCCATTTCCATAACACTCTATTCTATCCTCCAAGGAGCAACGCTGGCTTCCAGCTCCAGAGTTCTTTGTACCATCTCATGCTGCCTCCCATTTGCTAGAATACAGCACCAGGTTTTCTATATCACTTTTACCTCTAACGGTGATGTACAACGCACTACTGGAAAACAAAGCTTTGTAAACAGCAGCACTTCCCTGGTGGTTACATTCTAGGAATGAGGATATTAGGCAGATTCTGGGTAATATGTGGTGAGGGAATCCTGCCATCTAAAATAATCAAGTACTAATACAGGCAGGCTCAGACACTACAAACCGTTTTTGAGTGCTTTGTGTGTGCCAGCTGCTTTCAGGCACATTTTTTAAAGCAAATACAACTTCAGCTCATTTCCAGACTAACAAAATGCAGTATTTGTAAACATAATCATCCCCTGGTGCAACATATTTATTTCATGACTGACAACATATCTGAATTCATCCATTGAAGGAGAATGAGCCAATTGCTCATCAGATTTGAGCGTCTTTATCTTCCTTAAGCTTATTTCCTCATGGTGTCTCTTGAAGTAATCCAAACAGATGTGAATCAGGAAGCATGCTGAAGATAAATTGCTATTTCTATATTATACACATAATCTATGGTAAATTCTATTTGATGTAAATCTGGCTATAAAAGTCCAATGAAGTCTAGCTATTCCATAGGGTTTAGTTTGAATTTGGGATTGCCATTCAAAAATGTCAGCAATGTTGCCAATTTATATTGTAGAACTTACATGTATTCAGACATGCAGCAATAGTGATAGACAAGAGCCAATACATGATATGTACATAATGAGCATGGAAATGTAAAATTTACAATCAACATTTCCCTACAAACAACCTAGATTTCTCACCCCCTCCCCTTTTTTAAGTTTCAGGAGGCACTTACCCTTAGAAAAATCATCAAATAGGCCAGACATTTTCCTGTATCCTTCTTTCTCTCCTCCCCCACCCTCTTAAGCATGGCAGTAGTCGGCTAGGACTGACATAATAAAACAGCACAGACCAGGTACCTTGAACAACAGTAATTTATTTTCCCATAGCTCTGAAGGCTGGAGTTCCAAGATTAACTGTTGGAAGATTTGGATTCTCCTGAGGCCTTCCTCCTTGGCTTGCATAAGGCCACCTTCTTGTGGTGTCTTCATTTGTCCCTTCCTCTTATAAGGATGCCAGTCATATGGGATTAGGTCCCCACCCTTATGACTTCATTTAACCTTAATTACCTCTTTAAAGGTCTGACCTCCAAATACAGCCACATTGGGGTTTAGGGCTTCAACATATGAATTGGGGGGGGGGGGCGGATACAATTCAGTTCATAGCAGGTACCCTATATTCTATTTCTTTCTTCTCTCTCCCTACCTGCCATTCTGTCTCTGTTCCCAGGCAAGAGTAATGCAGACCCATTTTCATTACTTGTAAATGCAAACATTTGTTGAAGGGTTAGACACATGTAAGTTGGGCATCAAGCTCCAGGCCAATGGAGGAAATTTAGTCTCCACCAATAGACAAAGTGTTAGAGCTAAGGACAGTATTGGAGTTAGAACCCCCAAGTTATAAGGATCAGAAAGTAAGAAGCAGGCTGTGTGATGAGAGGCTATCATTTTAAGCCCAGAGTTGGAAAAGTAAAGAACGATTTTTCCCTTCTCTGTCATCCATTGAACCTTTTCTATACTCAAAATATGAAAAAGAAAATTGAAGAGAAACACTATTTTCTTATTCCTGGGTCTCCCTGAGTTTCTCAGTTAGTTATTTGAATAGATATAGAGTATTTCTCAGAGTAGAGTGTGGGCTTATCTCTAACACTCTAGATACCATCCCCATTGCTCTTGTATTGCATAGGGAGGGGTTGCCTGGAGTGCTTCCAGAGGGCCACAGCATCACCCCACTGCTGCAGGCTAACCCCATGGACCCAACCCTCCATCACAGGCTGGTGTCAACCAATTGCCCAGGCTGTTGTAGCACCTCCTTTCGTCTGTTTATGGCATTCAGAACTTTCTTCCTAGGACCCAGCTGCATTTGTATGCCCCGAAGGTCCTCATCAGAGCAAAGCAACAGAGCTTCCAGATCAATCTGCTCTCTCATGAAAATGGGAAGGAATTCGTCCAGGTGGTGAGAATGCAAGAATACTTCTAGGGGAGTAGCATCAACTATATCTTCTTCCCAATCCATTTCGAGCTCATCCCAAGGCAGATCATCTTCATGGCTGTTTTCCTCTCCCTCTTTATCAGCCTTGGCTTCATCATCCTCTGCTGCTCCTTGTCTCTGAAGCAATTCACTGGACATTTTAAACCCTAACTCCCTTTTGCGGTCTGAGATTTCTTCGGGGCTTAATATTCTGTTCCTTCTAAAAACAATATTTCCCAGACCTGGACGGTTGAGAATGGATTCATTTTGTGCATAGCTGTCTTTTTCTGTTGAGAACTGCAGCTGCTCTTTTAAGTTCCCTGAAAATGTGTCTTCTTCTTCCTCCTCTCTGAACACTTCCATCACATTCCTCTGCCCATTTCTGCTCTCCCTCCCTCCCTGCTCTGCTGTATCATTGTTCTTCTTGAACCTTAACTTGAAGGTGTCTTTAATGCCCTTAGACAGTGATCCAAATGTGCTGGAAGTAGAAGCATTTGAGATGGAAGACCTAGAGAAAGTGGCATTGGAAGAAGAAAGCATCCCAGATTCCTCCTTGCTGTAGGTGCGAGCCATCTTATTTTGGTGCTTCTCCTGAAGCCTCTCACATTCCTTGATTTGCCTCCTAGCATTCTTCTGAGCCTGCTCCTTTAGCCTGGTGACCTTCTTGGGGTTCATGATGTTCTGGGCAGTGGCAGCCTGATCCAGGAGAGCAACACATTCACTCCGCTCTCTGCTGGCAGCAGCATCCAGTGGAGACTGTAAGTCATTGTCCAGGGCAAAGATGTTGGCACCAAAGTTGATCAAGAATGAGACACAGTGGGCATGACCATTGGAGGCTGCATAATGTAGAGGAGTATTCCCCCAGATGTCACATCTATCAGGGTCCCCTCTAGAATAGAAAATATTAAAAAAACATGCTAAACTTTTTTCTCTGAATATAAGATACAAAAAAATGCATATATATAAACAAAAATCAGTAAAATACATGCTAATCCTGTATTGGAATTGTTATAGTTTCTTAAAGTCCAGATAGTCACATTCGGATATCACATGGCCAGAACAGAAGGAGCCCATCTCTATCCTTTGTCTCCTTTTCCAAGAAACTCTACAAAAAAGCAACTTTCTTTTCTCACTGGCCAGTATCGGGTCAGATGCCTAAGAGAAGGGAAATAGAGCTCCCGTGTTTAACTTCGATGAATTAAAAATTTCCCCTAAAGCTGGGGATAAAATTACCCAATATTCCACTGGTAAATATTTAACAACTGGTCTACCCAGGAAAAAAATCAAAGCTCTGATTTATAGAAAGTGCCAATTTCTGTGGTATCAATACACCCACTGCAGCAAACTTCAAGGTACTCATGCATTATTACTGGACACAGTTTGAAAGAGATGTGCAGTAGCACACCCTTATAAATTATTTTCATAATATAGATATAATAGATGTGCAAAATCTTAAGAGCAGAGATAATAAAATGTAGTAAAATAATTAGGAAGTGAGTTTTGAGTATTTTGAATACAACTTCTTAAATTATGTTTATATAATTTTATTTTTAATAAAGGCTGTGTTTAACTCTCAAACTTCCTGAAAATTTAGCAATCATACTTCATGAGCTACTAAGAGCTGGTTCCCATTCTATCACTGTTACCCTCATTATCCTTAATTTCATGTAGGGAAACAACTGAACATAAAATAACTGAGCAAAAAACTGAACAAAGCAAAGCAAGCAAGAACAGAGGAATGGATGTTAGGGAGGTAGCAGTGTCTGCTGCAACCATTATTCACACAAGGTGGAACATCCCCATCAATTCCCCAGCTTACTTCCATGCAACTATGTGAATAATTCTGCAACAGTTTAAGGCAGAACTGGGGGCACAATCAGATGATATTAAGGCCAGAGAACCCAAGCCAGGCACAGAAACAGGAACATGATAGGTGCTCAATAAAGATTTGAGGAATGAATGAATGCCTACTAGAATCTTACCCCAGGCTACTGCAACCTTCTCCCCACCCACCGTCTGGTGAAGTCTTGTTACAAAGAGGCACAAAAGGAAAGGAACATAATAACTTTTTGTTAAGTACAGCTCTGTCCCTAAGCTACAGCTGAGAACTCTGATAATACAGTAGTACCAGGGCACCTTCCCTCACCCTAGTCTAAACTAGGACCTAAACTCTCCCCAGGCTGGCCCCAGGGTAGGACAGGAGTCTGAGAACATTCCTAGTGAGTAGAAGGTGCAACAGAAGATCCAAGCCTTTGCAACTGACAAGTTAATGGACTGTGACCTCTCTATTATTCCCCCATCCTCAAAGTATGGGTCCTGGACCAACAACAGTGCTACCCGTGGGTCTGTTTGAAATGTACTCTTGGAGCCCAGCCCAGTCTTCCTGAATCAGAATTTGAAGTTTAACAAGCCAGTGTGCACTAGTTAATGTGGCACAACTAGCACCCCGTAGCTTGATGAGTCAGATTTGTAACTCCTCCACGGGAATCCCTGGCCTCCTCATGCTTTTCAGTTAGGGATCATCTACATATTCAATGTAACCACCAGCACCAACCATCACCATCTCACTCTCAGAGAAAGACAACAAGAATAATTGTCACAGGGTTTATAAAACTATGGCTCAGAGTGCTTTATTGATTTGCCCAATGTTATACAGGGAGCACACTTTGAATCAGGCCTGCCTCCAAGTCCACTGGTCTCCAACAGAGGACAGTCTTGGGTTAACACATAAAACTATTTTTCCACTTCACCAGCTATAAGGCCTCAAGGTTAACTTTTCTAGGACTCAGTGTCTTCATCTGTAATTGAAGATAAGATTACCTACTCATGGAACTGTTGTGTGAATAAGTGAATATACATAAAGCATTAGAAAGGTGTCTGGCACATAATGAATGCTCAACAAACATTACCTATTCATAATTTCCCTTGTTTCTAAGCTCCTAATTCTTAATGCCATATATTTGTTCTTTCTCATATCCATCTAATAAATTCCCATAGTACTACAATAGCTCTGTGGCTTTTTAAAGTTTATAGTCTTACTTAATTTGTCAAATATTTATGCCCTGTCCCCCTAATTAGATAATATGCCTCAGAGTGCAAAGACTGTGTGTCTGTTGGTCCTTTGTATTGTATCTTCTAGCAGAAGTCTCAAACTCAACCTACAGAGACCAAGAAGGTAATGTAAGTAACTGCATGGGACCAGATTTATTCTTTCAACAAAGTCATAGTTAATTGCAAGCTTCATCTAGAAAGGATAGTTGTCCCTTGGCTGCAGCCAATTGCTACCTTCAATAAAAGCAGACACAATACTGCAGAGGTTCCATTTTTCTTGATTTTTACATGTTGGTTCAAATTTAAAAGAAAAATACAGTGAAGTCCAAATAAAACATATTTGTGACCTAGATCCAGCCCATAAGCTGGCAGTTGGCAACCTCCTTATGAACAGATGTACATATGGGGGACATTACATAGCATATCTGGTGAACCAGGAGTATACTTTAGCATGACCAGAGTGCTTAGAGATGGAGGCAAGGGAAATTAGTGCAAAGAGGAAGGAAAGAAAATGAAATTGAATCTAATGGAACCAAGTATTACATGACACAATTCTATTGGACAGACACTTTCAAGAGGTCTGGTCAGTCTGCCTGATTTGTTTCGGATCAAAGTAACCACTTTCAACCTTAGCAATCTGTGTATCTTAGGGGAGTACAGCACTTCATCCTCACAGACTTAGTTTCACTTTTTGTTTATTTTAACCAAACACCATATTCAAAAGACTCCCTAAGTACCCTAGACATCAAAGAGGGATTGTAAAACATCCAAGATGTTATTATAAAAATAATCAGTATGTTTATAATAACATACTGATTAAAATTCCCTGAAATTATTCTTGGACTGAATAAGTTAAAAAGGAGATTGGGAAGAGAGAGCTATGGTAGAATATATTATGGGCATTAATAAGTGTAGATTAAACCTACATGCTTCAGGCCATAGAGCAGTGGAATTTTCTGTCTCAGCAGATCTTTTTTTTGGTATCATTACTCTACAATTACATGAGGAACATTATGTTTACTAGACTCCCCCCATCACCAAGTTCCCCCTATATTCCCCATTGCAGTCATTGTCCATCAGCGTAGTAAGATGTTGTAGAATCACTACTTGTCTATTGTGTTGTACAGCCCTCCGCGTGGACACCCCCATTATACATGCTAATCATAATGCCCCCTTTCTTTATCACCCCCCCTTTTCCTTCCCTTCATACCTGTCCTCCCCAGTCCTTTTCCCTTTGGTAACTGTTAGTTCATTCTTGGGTTCAGTGAGTCTGCCGCTGTTTTGATCCTTCAGTTTTTCCTTTGTTCTGATACTCCACAGATGAGTGAAATCATTTGATACTTGTTTTTCTCTGCCTGGCTTATTTCACGGAGCATAATGCCCTCCAGCTCCATGCATATTGTTGCAAATGATGGATTTGTTTTCTTCTTATGGCTGAATAATATTCCATTGTGTGTATGTACCACATCTTCTTTATCTATTCATGTACTGATGGACACTTAGGTTGCTTCCATTTCTTGGCTATTGTGAATAGTGCTGCAATAAACATAGGGGTGCATATGTCTTTTTCAAACTGGGCTGCTGCGTTCTTAGGGTAAATTCCTAGAAGTGGAATTCCTGGGTCAAATGGTATTTCTAGTTTGAGTTTTTGAGGAACCTCCATACTGCTTTCCATAATGGTTGAACTAGTTTACATTCCCACCAGCAGTGTAGGAGGGTTCCCCTTTCTCCACAACCTTGCCAACATTTGTTGTTTGTCTTTTGGATGGTGGCGATCCTTACTGGTGTGAGGTGATATCT